ACTGGATTGTGCTGAACATGTAGGACTTACATAATCACTGTTAATCTCCCTTTTCATCATTCATCATTTGGACATAAGCTAAGGTGAGCATATCAAAATCTTAAAAAAGGCCATTTATAGAGTTCAAGTTTCTTGGGATATGTCATGTGTGTCAGTGCAAATTCGGAGCTAATTTGAGTGAGCTCTCTTCCCCTAACACCACAGTCCAGACTTGGCCCAGAAAGTGCAGACAAACACTTTCAATTGAGAATGTTTTGTAATACATATACTTTTTCCTACCAGAATCATTTCAATTCAATTCAATTCAAAATGGTTTAATTTAAAAACTTTCTTTCGGCCATAGGCCGAATTACAAAAGTTTTTACATTTAAATTTACAAACAACCATTAAAAATTGTGTAAAAAATTACAATAAATATGGAGTTGTCCCCCAAAACATTAATTCTCATACATGAACTTTACATTAATTACAACAAAGATGAAAAGGCACAAAATACACACCAGCAATCCCCCCCCAAAAAACCAACATCTGTACATAGTAGTTGGCAATATAACAAACAAAACGAAAAAGGTATAGTTAAGCAGGACAATTGAAATTACAAATGAACCATCTAGTTGAAAAACATATGATTGGATCATTTAACAAATATTATAAGTGAGATATAGTTTGAATAATAATTACAAATAGAACTATTAAAAAAGGGGCGTTGAATTATTTTTCTTGTGCTCCTTTAAAACTTGAGTAAGATAGGGTATTGCTGATTCATGATACCTGTTTGTTCTACACAAAAAATTTTGCCTAATATGTCTGCTCCTAATGTTATACTTCTTGGGTTTCAGTGCCGGGAGTAAGTGATGCAGTCGGTTGGTAGGTAAAGATAATGAAATAGAAAATTTTAAGCACAATTCGATTCTCTGATCCTCAAGTGTGGTTAAATGGCAAGACTGGAGAGCTTGTTGGTATAAAACAAACTGAGCACCAAGTATAATCCTACATGCTCTTTTTTCGACCATTTTTGGCTACCTTCGCAAAGACGTCCGTCAAAGCCATTGGGCAAAGATTGTTAAGGGATGCAGGAGTGGACTTTGGTATGGGCACCACATTTGCACTTTTCCACTGCTGTGGAACTGTTAGCTGTCTGTATGATGCTTTAATAACATCAGTCAGTGGTTCACTTATTCAAGCGCAAACTGTTTTATAAAGCGAGATGAAATACCATCGGTACCACTCGATTTGGACTTTTGTGTTTTGTAATAACTTGAAAGTTTCCCACGTGTTCACAGGATGAATCTGGAGAGATGGATGAAAAGCTGGCAGTGATTCCCTGTCAACTGGTTCAAGGTCCGCAGCAACAGATGAAAAGTGATCACAAATAGTACTTCATCCATCCAGCTTTCAAACCCAGCTTGCCCGCCTTACTATGTGTAGCTGTTGGGCTCGAAGCACCCTTGCTAACGATCATTGTGATCATGCTTATTCGGATCAGTGTCAACTCCTGCAATTTCTTGTGCCGGGGCATAAAATATGCTTTCAGTTGAGCTTTAATGGGATTACCTTGGAATCCTTCGATCAAGCAAAATCCATTAACCCAATTGGTGTAGTTTCAGGTCCAGGAAGTACCAAGAAGTCCTGAGAAACACATGGGCCCGTCTAAAATATCGTCCCGAACAAATCCATGTGTTGATGTGAGACCATGCAAATGGTCAATGCACGGACGATTTTGTGTTGAGTATAAAAATTGGTTGAGCTAGGCCATAAACACAAAATCTCGGAGTTCATCCCCCTTGATATTTCGAATGATTTTTTTCACAACTTTCTAGCCAAATTATCTAGAAATCATACAATAAGACTGTGCGACAACACTTACATCTATGCATCAACCATGCATCGACCAATCGCAAAGGTCATCAGCTGATGGCGCAACGTACGGACGTGCGCAAACATCCAGGAAATACGGCACTTGTATGTATGTACAAAGTCAGTTGGTTTCAAAATGTGTACAAAGTCAATGGGAGAAATTAAATCTTCAAAATTAAATAATAAATCTAATTATGATGCCAAACTGACGTTATTCCTCTATGGCCATCTATGCTGTATGGTCTTTTGTGGAGTGGCCAAAGAGCATGCCATTCTGGCAGTTGAAAAACTTGTACAAAACATATGGGGAAAATTAAATACTCCAAATTCTATAATAAATCAGGTTATGACATCATGATGACGTCATGATTCGGCGTACATCCTCCGGTAGTAGTCTAACAATGTGCCGGGTTTGAAGTAAATTGGCCCAAAGTAAGGACCGAAAGTGGTGTGTAGAATGACCCTGTGTTATGTCAGTAGCAAAAATGTGAAAATGAGGAAAAAACAAAAACAAAAGAAAAAACGTAAGAAGAACAATACCTGTTTCGGCCGGTGACCGAAACACCAAACATTAAACATATTTGTCCTTCACTCTGAACTTAGCAAGATGTATTTATCAAACGATCTTGGTCTACTTCACCGCCTTGTTCACCAGTGGTGGCCCCATCATCAGCCCAGTTAGGATCCTATTGGCACGATGGGTTCAAAGCAGTAAGGCTCTGTGCCTTGGACTTTATACTCTTTGTTGTCCTCATCAGGTTCTTGTTGCTCTGGTGAGCTGATATATTGTCGGAAGTAGAACTGCTGTCTGACGAGTTTAACTTTAGCTACGCACACGCTACTATACTACGTGTAATTATGTGCATTGACGTGACTGCGCTAGCTCAGTACATACATGCACCAGCTGGAGAACCATTTCCGTGATGCTACATGGACAAAAGCCTAGAAAAGCCATACTCATGAGATGTAAAGGAAGCAATTACAACATGCTCCTTTCACGAAAGCTTGCCATGTTGCTTGGCAGAGACGGGTCTCTCAAAAATGAGTTTTTTAACCCAAAATATTGCCGAATCTAGGCTTATGTAGCGTATATGTCTATAATGGGATCCAAGTGAACATACTACATGTGTGTAAAGCCAGATGTCTTGTTTTTTCTGCCGTTGGCATTGCTCTTTAACTGGATAATTATTTCAGTAGCCACGTGATTTACTCCACAGTCTTCAGACCCTAGACAAATAACCAGGTGTTACCCAACTTAATGGAATGACCCATTTGTGTTCCCATGTGCATGTATTCAGTGACTTGACCACTTCGTGCCGGGGTGCCCAGTACCATAGATGTTGGCTTTATATGCTCAGCTGGGGTGCCCAAAATCGGACAAAGGAGCTGGGCCCTGTAACAAAAGACTGTACTTGGAACAAAAGACCGGGCTGCTGGAAATTGCTAACATTTTTTTCAGTTGTCAATAGTGGAGGTAATCTATCATTGTTTTGAAAGCAGAGTACGACTAGGGAAAAAAGCGCTCCAGGAATGATCAATACAATAACGCTGCACGCTAATCTGGCCACATTTGAAAGATGCCAGCAATGCACTGGGCCAGTTTCAGGAACAAAAGAAAATTGCATAACACTGCACAATCTGGGCTCTCTTTACAAGGCAGCAGGCCCGGCTGAAATTCTCAAGCATCAGTAGATGTGTCTGTCAGATTAGAGTAGCCACCAGACAGTCATTCATGTGGATGGAAACATCCAGTAAATAAAGTTATGAATTTCTGAAGAATTTTGAAAACAGAATTCCCCCGGGGATTTGTCATGCAACTTCAAATTAAAACAGACGGCAAGTGGTTAACAAAGAAACTATGCACACTGACCTAGAGAATTAATTTCTATAACCAACTTAGGGCACCTTATGTACATTTGCACCTTGATTTGCGCACATAATATACTTACTCAATGTGAAAGCAAGAGGGTCTCCATTGAACATTATAACCAAAGATCATATAACGCCACGTAGCGGCTTAAGATGGCCAACTTCACCGGGAATACACGTAAAACGTTGTAATCGCAAGGGCGCCATTTGAGCAAGCGATACACCTGCGCAATGCACATTAATGCACAGATGCAGGCGCCGCGGCAGGCACGTGCACCTTGTGAGCCTGCACCTAAGCATTACTGTAAACTGCGCAGGCGTATCGCTTGCTCAAATGGCACCCGTGTTAATTACACCTTTTGGGCAGAGTTATCTATCTTGCGCCTTTGGCGCTTATATGATCTTTGATTCTGACTTACCAGAAACTGAAAGAAAATTCTAATTTACACTAAGTTGAACTTAAATACTCTATTTCCCAACTTCTTACAAATACTGGATTATTCTCGACTCAGTAATAGCAGAGATAAAAAAGGAGAAATTTTACCTGAAAAGAGCAAGCAGTGTGCAGGCCAGTAGCAAGGAAGACAGCACATTGGGGAATGGCATGTCATAGCTTGGTGGTGCAATAATGGTGGTGTAATAATAATAATTATTGTTGAGTGCCTCCGGTACCTGCATATGCTTACATTAACATGGCTCTTGTTTGCAGATGCTCTGGGGTAGAACACTTCATACTGAAAATAATTAAAAAGCTACCAGATATGGAGTTCATACTGAATGAACGTGACTGGCCTCAGAGTCCCAAGTTTGCTGATCCACTGCCAGTTCTATCATTCAGCAAGGTAAGTAAAAATTTGAAACATCATTTGGATTGCAATAAGATAGCATATCGTTTTATTTAATACATGTTATGGTAATTAGTCCTACACTTTCTGGCTTTGGGTGACAAAATTGGTGTTATTTTGATTATTTGGGTGGTAGGCTTGATAAGAGCAACATATATATGTAGGTGTCGCCCCTTTGGGACAGGTTTAGTGTAGGAAAAATGCTTCTTGTTCAACTCAACCGTTGTCCTATTCTGCAGTTATCTGGTTATATGGCAAAATTGCCTATTGTGAAATCCAGGAAAATTATGATTGTTATTTTTATTTATGTTTAAAAATGTGCTTTCCTTTTTGCACTTTAAAGTTTAAACTAGAAGTCTGTGTCTGAAAACGGGACTTTGCTGTACATGTATGTAGGAGTTTTTTGAGAAAGGATTCTGTGTTACATGTGTTTATGTTGTTAAAGTCGCTTTTATAAAGCTCAGAAGACAACATGACAGACAAAAATAAGTCAGAGAAAGAACAGTAAAATGAATGTGAATCAGACTCGAGGAGTTTAGCACAAATAAATTGGATTTATTTCAATTTGTACAATTCACAGAATACAAACATACCAAATTAAGTGAACCATTGGAAGGAAAATAATTACACACTGTGTCCAGGTAAGTTGAATGCTTAGGCCGTTGTGACAGGGCAAGTACATGTACCTCTACTGTTGAAATCCTGATCTTGAGTTTACAGCGGTTGAAAAATTTGGAAGCTGTGAGAGTCCTTGGTCTTGATCAGATGATCTTGAATGGCAATATAATGGGTGGAGGACAGGTTGCCATCTTATGCGCAACATGGCCAGTCTTTTGGCATTTATGATGTCTGATGGTTGAGAGAACTGGTGTCACTTGTGTGAAGAGAATGCCTTATCCATACCAGCTGACTGAAGGTGGGAACTTGAGGGATGAAATTCCTCCTCTTAAAGTCTGGCAGAAAATTCCAGTGTCTGTTCCACTGGGCAGGAATGTGAGTGGGATATTAAACTAAACAACTTGAGGCACAATGTCATAAAGATTTTAATTGGTGCACCACAAACAGCCACGGCACTTTTTCCCAAGTCACCTGTTGCCCCTCTTCACGCGGTGTCATGCAGCACCCAGAAAGTCTACAGCTCATTAATTATCTGTACTGCATGTTCTCTATTGTTATGTTATTTTATATGATTAGCATGAATAGAGGGAATTTCATGATCTGAGTACAGATCAAGATCAGAAAACTATTCAGTCCCCTGTTAGCTCAAATAGTTCTCAAATTCCAGTGACATGTGGTAAGTACCGGGTGAGCTGGAGATTCATGTAGTACAAAGCCATTTTCTTAATGTAAACTTTTAATTTGGACATAGAGAATCGACGACATTGTCAACCAAATAAATTCAAATAAAATTAAATTCTTTGATAAGCTTTATGCAACCGAAGATTGAGAGCCAACCGACTGTAAATAAAATATATAATTCCCAAGGTAATAAGGTCAGTTGACTTTTTAGTGGCTGCTTCTTTTGATTGACAAGGCCTGTCCTAGCATTTCTTTATCCAAAGCTGGACCGCGTGTGGTTTTTAATTTTCCATGCCTCACTGCTTTTTTTATTCTGAGCATCCAACCCGCCAAAAATATTAAACATGTGGGGCAGGAAAATTGTTCTGATGAAGAGGTGATTAATTTGAGCCCAGTTAAATATTACTGAGTCCATCATGCAGTTGCACTCTGAATCTTGTAAAAAAAATTTCTTGAGTCCAGGAAATATAGTCCAAATCCTGACAAAAGATTGCGAGTCTGGTGAACATTTTCTGGAGTCTGGAAAAAACATTGTGGCCGGGAAGATATATAGTTTCTGAGTCTGAGGTTATTCGCAGGCTGGAAAGAAAACTGAGCCCAAGAAAAATGCTGAGGCTGGGGAATTAATTTTAGCAGAGCCAAAAATAATGCAAAACGAACATATTTGGATATATTTGTTGACCACTGGTAATTTAACTGATTTTGTCTCCTCTTTACTGCTGTCTCAGTGCCAATTGCGGATAGGGATTTATAATAATTGGTGTCATTACAACCATAAAATTTTGTTTCTGGCCCAAGACCAACACTGCATTTAGCTGATAGTAGGGGGGGTGGCTTCAAATTTTTACAACCAATGACAATTAAGAGCATGAACAGCTTATGTTGTGATTGTTTTTTTTTTCTTTTTCATGTGTTGGCAATTGGTATGTTGACAGTTATGGGGTCATGACCGGTTAGGAGAGCTGTTAAGGGTACACAAGGGCCAGGCAGCAGGCCTCCTTTATACATCCAAAAATAATACAACGTAACTGAAAAATATTGGTGTGTGGGCCTTCTGTATTAACGAATGAACAGAAATGCTATCATCAAATGTGGGGTATTTGACCGGCTTTACTCATATTCACAGCTGACAGACATTTTCGGTGGTGGGTTACCCCCAACAGACACGCCAACCTCCAAAGTGAGCTAGATCAACAATATAGCTAACCAAACCAAATTTACACTAAACCTTGCTTGCACAGACTTGTTTCCCTTATTTCCTCAGCCATACACTTCTCTTAACCTTGGAAATCAGTCCGGCAAAAAACAAAATTCATGGTGGCGGCCAAACTCCACTCCACCAAACTTAAGGCTTAGAGGCAACATGTATGATTACACCCCTCCCCTATATATACAGGTTTATTTCTACTGGCCACGTTGTTGATCTAGCAGTGATTGGGATGAAAGTACAAGGGGTGTTTTATATCCCACCACAGAAAATGTCTTTCAATTTAATAACAGACATAAGTGGTTATACTGGACAATATGTGGTACATGTAGGTTTCAACATGTGAGCAGTTCTAATCAGCTGATCTAGATCACTTTTGGGAGTAGGAGTATCTGGTAGGAGTAACCTATCACCACAAATGTCTGTCAGCCGTGAATATGAATAAAGCGAGTCATACTCTACATTTTGCAAAGAGGGACGATCATGGCGGCGAGAATGCAGTGCATAGTGGGAGGTCATAGAGCATCTTGGATGATAAAGTCTTTTCAGCGAATCGCCATGCGCGCATGGGAAATTTACATATATACTGACTGTTTGGGTAGGTGTTCTATAGTAGACCCAACCCACACAGTTAATGTGGGGGAGGATTTTTGTACAAAGCTATATAGTTGACTCTCTTTATAGAAAACACTGTTATAGCAAAATACTGTTATAAAGATAGATTTCAAGAATCCCACTTTCTTGAATTCTTAGGGTTTTTCACTCTTATTACAAAGTCCTGGTTATAATAAAGTAATTTGTTGTTATTATTAATATTATTATTATTATTAAATTCAATTTATATAGCGCTCATTTCATAAAAAATGTTCAGGAGTGCTTAACAATATTTAAAAATACCTATTAGAACAACTATTTACAAAGACCCAAAATAATTAAAATAAACACAATGTAACATTGATTTAAAAGTTTAAACCAAACATGGTGGGACTTTCACACACAGCCAGCACCAACTCTCTCCAAGAGAAAACCCAGATTCTCCCAGACAGGTCCAACAAAATTAAAAACGACAAAATTACAATCAAAATTAACAATCACCTAGAGCCTAGAAATTAATAATATACTTTCTTAAAAAGGTATTTAACATTGATTTAAAAGTAATGACACTAGTAGCACTTCTAATATTACATGGAAGCTTATTCCAGAGATGTGGCGCACAATACTCAAATGCTCGATCTCTGAGGGTAGCCTTAGCCCGACCTCATGGATAATTGAGGAGGACACCATCACCGTTACCATCACGAAGATGGTAACGGTTCAGAAGCCTTGTGGAGACAAGCTGAGTTAAGTTTTGAGGAGCTAAATCATGTAAGACTTTGTATGTCATCAACAAAATTTTAAATTCAATTCTATATAAAACCGGACGCCAATGTAAATCAATAAGAAGAGGAGTAATTCGACAGATTTTCGGTGTCTTGTAGACGAGTCGTGCACAAGCATTCTGTACCCTCTGGAGCTGATTAATATGAGTACTGGGTAAGCCATAAAACAAACTATTACAGTAATCCAATCTACTTGAGATAAATGCATGAATCGGTGTCTCAGTACATTCCTTGGAGAGATATTTCCGAATGTGTCTACATTATGCAGATAATAGAATGCGCTACCACAAACCTTAGTAATATGAGTTTTCATAGACATATTAGCATCAAACCAGGTACCTAAGTTACGAGCTGTAGCCAGGGGCAAAATGACAGATTCCCCAACATGAATACCATCCAAAGTTACCTTGGATATTTGTTGATGAGTGCCAATAATGATAAATTCCGTTTTATTGTTATTCAAAAATAGTCCATTATTAAACATCCATTGTCTGACATCGTGTATGCAAGCCTCCATAGCTGACAGGGCAAATTCCTGACTACCAGTTTCATCTGGACAAAATGATAAATACAACTGAGTATCATCAGCATAGCAATGAATTCTTGGGTGATGAGCAGTGACGATGTCAAACAACTGACTAGTGTACAAGATAGACAATAAAGGACCTAAACATGACCCTTGAGGAACACCCCATTCAAGATTACGTTTACTAGATAGTTTATCATTGACCAAAACCCTTTGAGATCTACCACTCAAATATGAGTTAAACCAGTTGAGGGCAGTGCCAATAATTCCAAAACGTGACTGGAGTAGACTCAAAAGAACATCATGATCTAATGTGTTGAAAGCTGCACTCAAATCTAATAACACCAGAAGTGTAACATATTTCCTGTTCATGGCAATCAACAAATCATTTTGAACTTTCAATAAAGCAGATTGAGTACTGTGATATTTACGATAAGATGACTGCATAACTGGATATAGATTATTCCGTGTCAGATGAGACTACAATTGATCAGCAACGTCCCTTTCCAGCAGCTTCGAAATAAACTGTAAATTACACACAGGTCCAAAAATCTCTACTTTGCCCTCAAGTCCAGGTTTTTTAGTACAAGGGAGAACAACAGCCAATTTTCAAGCCGCTGGAAATTCCCCGCTCTTTAGTGAAAGATTAATCAATTTAGTAACAAATGGCAAAAAGGAGTCCAAACAATCGACAAACAGATTAGTAGGAATCGGGTCAAGAATGCACGTTTTCTTACTGGAGCCAGTCACTAGTTTACAAACACAATTTTGAGATAATTGACTAAAATCAAGTGGGTGGCTCTGGGTGTGAAACAAACATATTATAAGTGGGTGAAGGATTAATACAATTCAATTTTAGCCTAATATTACCAATTTTCTGGACAAAGAAATCACTCATATGATTCGCAAGTTGTAGAGCATTGGTATGCGGAGGTAAAACAGAAACCCTATTAAAAAGAGAGAACCACAGGCCCCAAAAAGCTTTTGGGATCGGTACTATTCTTTTCTATAAAGTTGGTATAGTATTCCTGATGAGCAATCTTCATTAAAAAGTAACATTATTTTTCTTGGATTCAAACATGTTTAGATCGTGCTTTGATCCAGTCAAACGCCATTTCCTCTCAAGTTACCTTCTTTCACACTTGGCTAATTTGATATTATTATTATACCAGGGTACACGCGGTCGAACAACAAGTGTTTTGGACGTAAGTGGAGCATGACGATCAATAATAATGCCCATGGTATCATTGTACAAATCAACCAGACCATTGAGATCCTTTGAATCAATAAGAAAAGAATCCTCATTATATAATTCGTAATTATGAATGTCGTAATTAAACTTAGCCAAGTCGATAGCCTTTAATTTCCTATATGACACATCTTTCACAGATAAACAGGACCTTTTCAACTGGATATTGCACAAAACAGGCAAATGATCTGAGAATAATTCACCAGAGATCGGTGTTCCCAATATAACATATTCTGATTGAAAAGTAATTATTAAATCCACTATGTGACCAGGTATATGAGTAGGAGTGATGACATGCTGTTGTAAACTCATAGATTCCAGTATCTCAGCAAAACGCATGGAATCGTGATTTTGAACCATGTGAACATGAATATTTAAATCTCCAGTAATCATAAGGGGTTCACTAGATAATGTAACTGTTTCTAGATAGTCAGAAAACTCACCAATAAATGCATTAACAGTGATTTGGTGATTAGATGAATATGGTGGTCGATAGACAATAACCAGTCTAAGAGACTGCGAACCGGACCTAATCAACCATTCCAAGAATTCGAAGGATTGACGTTCTCCGGCTGCAGTCTTGCTGGCATCCATATCATCACAGAGAAGCAATGCAGTGCCTCCCCCCATCCGGCTGGTTCTTGGGTGATCTAGCAGCTTGAATCCCTCAGGGGTTGCCTCCAGTCTGCAAGCATCGTCAACATCCCTGAACCACGTTTCTGTCAGGGCAAAAATGTCTACTCCAGAACTACATACATAATCAAGAAAGTCCACCGATTTATTCCTAAGCGACCGAGTATTAAGGGTGCAGAATCTCACAGTGTGATCCTCTCCACGATTTACAGACAATTGATAGTGAGGAATGTGCGCCACTGATGTTAAGGTGCCAACGGTTACCACAAAAGGGTCGAGAGCATTGGTCGATCAAAACAGGAATGTCTCGTGGTTTGTCACTGACAAAAGCTGAAACTGGAATCAGTGTACGATTGATGTCATGCCTTGATTGATACCTCTCTGGGAAACGATGGCGCGGAAAATTGTCAACAATGACAGAAATTTTCCGACGGTGTCCACCACGACTTCCATGTCGGCAAGGAATACCCCTTGCTCGAAGCAGATGAACAATACTACGGTCCAAGGGTGGACTCTGTTGTCGAAAACTAAGTAACTGGGTACGTGAATATGTAACTCTCTCGGATGTACCAGGTGGATGAGTCCGATGAGCAGTCATTCGTAAAAGCGGGTGTGTTCCTCACCAGATTTTTGGATGGGCCTAGATTAATTGAAATGTCCATGTAGATGGTCAAGTTGATGAACGGATCATGGCTGGCCACAACAAGACACAGGAGACCATGTTTACCCCAGACAACAACAGGTCTTTTGACTGACCGGACATTAATCACAGTAGAGGAAAATGTACCACGCTGTTGAAGTGGGCACTCAGTTACAACCATGAAAATGTGATGCACAATTACAGACGATGATTCAGACAGTCCAAATGAAAAGGTGGTTCGATGCACAAGGCCGAGGCCTACATGGCCTAGTAGTAGTAGTAGTAGTAGTAGTAGTAGTAGTAGTAATAACAGACTAAGTCCAAAAATGGATGTCATTTCTCCAATGGGTAGGATGCCACACCAAATCACAGCAACAAATTCAGTATTACAAGTTTCAGTCAACCACAGTTAATAAAATAGCAAGCTGATGAACCACACATTACGTACATGTTGTTAGCAGCAGTCAGTGCATATAACAAACCAAAATTCAAAATGGCGACATCAAAATCACACAGGTCATTAGTCAAGATTCGCGTTCAACAGACAAAAGTCAAAGAAATATCCAATGGAGAAACAAAATATTTCAAAAATTCATACACACACAGGTAGGCGATAAAAACAGCAGAAGATTCCCTGACTGTAGGTAGTTGATGGTAAAACGATGTGGATAAAAAACAACGATTAAAATCAAGAAAGAAGAGCAGTAAATAAAATCACGTCAACAGCTAACAAGAGTGCCCTCAATACTGGTCCTTGTAACTTTGTTATAACGAGAGTTGACTGAACACACCTACAAAGAGCATATGTACCAGTACATGTGTATATAAATCAAACAAGGAGTCCAGTGCCCTCATCCTACCTAAGCAGTTGCTACTGCAGCAAATTTCCTTTCATATATTTTGCCATTCACTAAAAACTTGATCAACTGGAGTGCGCCCTCTAGTGCTACAAATTAGCTAGGTGCTAGCAAGGCCCTGTGTCTCGTTCGACTTCTTACAGAGTTGACAGGGAAGCTCCAAGGATGATTGACTGCTTAAGCAGAGGTACTGGCTAGGTGCTAGCTAGGCCCCCTGTCTCTACGATCCATGGCAAGTCTACCGAGCCAGCTGGATCAACTCCTGAAAGTGTGCCCACCTGGTGTCTCCTACGTCCGTCCTTCCATCTCCAGCAAGTACGCCACACCTATTGACCGCCATGGCTCAGAGGAACTGGGCATCTTCATCGTTCTCATCTGGGCATCTCCAGGACACTGGATCATACCTTGATTGGTCTTTCAGCCAGGAACAATTCAGCTCATGCTTGCCAAGACCAGCAACATTCCTCTGCAGGGAATGCGTACCTGGCTTCCCTTGCATCCTGTGACATTTCTACTATATGAAACTACCAAAGTCATGAGCCGGAACAAAATTTACTGAATAAAGAGAAAAAACAATACTTGTGTTTGTTATACAGAGCTGTTTTGGGATTTTTTCCTCAAGTCATTGAATGAAAAAAAATTCAAGGTGACCACTGATGGGAATTGAACCCAGTACCTACATGTCAGCAGAAAAGGTTTTTGCCACGGTGCCTTGCATAATACTTGGTGTCACAGTGCCAAGTTTGGCCCTGTAGTTCCAATATAAAGCATTTTGATTATGTAATATGTAGAGATCTTGAGTGAGTGCATGTTGTGCATACATACAAGGTTAGTCAGTGTTACGTGTTCATTGATTTTTGAGTGACAAACTGCTGGGTATTTTTGTCATTGTTAGGTCATGTGTGTAAACAAAAAGACAATCCTTTTACATTTGACGTCAGTGTTTAATTTTTACGTCTGATGGGTAAATCAAAATTAATGTGTCAGGATTGATTTTTTTTAGCGATTTTTTAACATCAAGGGTGTTTTCGTTGTAACTTTCGGTCTGATGATGTCATCAGCTTCAAACATTACGCTTATGTTCTTTGACTAAAGGTTACAGTATCTACCAATTTTCAAGTGATTGCAGCAATCATCGCCATCTAGGCATCTATTAAAAATGTATTTTTTGACATTTCTAGGCCTGCCATTAGAAAGTGCTCAAGAATTTCATGATGTCATCATTCAAAGTTTTCCAAACGTCTTGAAAGCAAGGTCATATCTACATGTATTAATGCCAATGTCAAATAATAAGGCGCTTCAGGTTTCAACCAGAGGCAATTAAGGGTCATGTGATCTTTCGTACATGAGAAAGAAAGGAAGACCTACATGACCTGTACCACTTTCCAAGTTGGAGGGAGATGAGCTTATGTGGGTGGCAAGTTAGTCAGAGAGGTTTGCGGTAGCACCATGCAAGGGTATCTCTTTTGCGGATGTGTAGTTCTGAAAAGAACTGGAAGGTACTCAACATTTCGGACAGTATGCTCTGTCCATTGTCAGGAGACTCCTGACAGCAAACCTCTCTTATTATAAGTTGCAGTCACGGTTGACTTTCTGTGCATTTTTAAAGATTAAAATTAATCAACTTTAAGGGCTTGTAATTCTACAAGTGATGACATCATGATAATGTCATGATTTGGTATACGTCTTCAAATGGTAGTCTAACGATGTCCAGGTTTGAAGGGAATTGGCCCAAGAAAAAGCCAAAGTCATGTGTAGAACGTGCCAGTGTTACACGTAGGTCATTGGGCAAAAAGTGGGAAAAGAAAGGAAGAGGGGGAAAGAAAGATGAGACTTTCTGTATCTGTGTGCAACTGAGTATAGGGCTTTTTCACATTTCTCAGGTTTTACATGTAAATAAAAAAGACCTTGTCGTGTTTGCATAGTATGCTAAAAGCACCTAGTGTTTAAAAGCATACCAAAAAATGTAGGGATCTGCACAAAAATGTAGAATTTTACAAAAGTAAAAAAGAAGCTCGATTTTGATGTCGGAATATTCTCCATGAATTTAAGCTTCCATATGATGTGAGCATTATATGGAAGTTTAAAGTAAACTTTATACACAAGTGCAAATAGAGAAATATCTAATTTGTTCTTTTTTAACCTTGCAGGTTTATTCTCAACACTGGGACATCATGTATCCAGCGTGGACTTTCTGGGAGGGGGGACCTGCTGTGTGGCCATTATTTCCCACTGGTTTAGGTCGATGGGACCTCTTCAGAGAATCTCTCGACAAGTATGCATTTCTGTATATTTTGAACTTTACCATATTAAGAATCAATGTTAGCACAGCCAAAGTTTACAATTTTCACTTTATGTTGAATTATGCCTATCTACGATAGGCTAAAAAAAGAAATGCCAAACTGTATGTAGCATTCGTAAACACATTATTTTAAGAACTATTATTTTTCCAGGGAAGCCAAGAAAACACCATGGGATGAAAAGTTATCCAAGGCATTTTTCAGGGGGTCAAGGTATGTATTTCTGTGTTTTCTTCTTCTACAAACTTGTGAAGAGCTTTTGAATGTCATCGCACCTTATGCTCTTGGCAAAAATAATGGAAAATGCTAAAACCTTTTTAATAAACAAATTCACGCAAACGCAGAACTCCTCGTTTTCTTGATGTCGTGACCTTTAGAATATTACGAGGCTTTTCACTTGAAATGTGCAGTATTTTTTGTCTTCAATTGCGTCAGGGTGTATGGAGATTCTGCATAAGGTCCCCCCAAAAAGTCTCCGGGTTTTGGTCACTACACATCACCATAGACCTGTGCATTGGCAAAATGAACAATTCTTTATTTTGCATAAAACAATTTCCAAAAGCTGCCAAACTACTTGATCGGCAGGAATTCTTCTACCGTATCATTTTAACTTGTTTTTGATGGGTGGGGTTGAGTAATATGTTTGGTGAAGGAATCACCCTAGGCCCCCATACATTTCAGTCAGGCACTTTTTTCAGATGACGTCATTCGTGTATCTTTACAGGAAGGCTGTGTCTGAATCAGTTGGCTGCGGCTTGATATTACGCATGATTCTATGGGAAATGGCCAAGGTACTGGCAAATACTCAGTGTAATTTTCGGCCGTAGCCAATTGGACTCACGTCTGTGAACCAGACAAATGAAGTGATCTTACATCCTGCTTATGTATACAAAGTGAAAATGCTTTCAAGGTACAAACCATGAAGGGCCAGTCTATTTCAGTGTCGGTGAGGCGTACGCATGCAGTGGCGATGGACATCGTGTTATGACAACTGCACATGTAATGACTCGTTACTTGCCAAGAACAAAGATAGAGTGACAGGAGATTTCATTTTCTGAGTAGCATTTTTCCCCAATATTTTACATGCAACTTCTTAATGGTGTACATGTATAAACTAAAACGGAAAACAATACGCACAGTATATCATCTACCTCATGAGAATTTTATTTTCATTTTGACTCGGGAGCAGAACTGCTTTCAATAATTTCATTTATTTATTTTTTTTAAGGATATTTGACGTTTAACTCGTTTCCTCTGAGCTAAAGCAGAAAACAATATGCAAAGAATGTCCTATACTGCTACCTCATGAGAATTTCATTTAAAACTGGAAACTGGAGCTGAACATTTTCACATTTAATTTTTCCACGATTGTGCTACTGTATTCTAACATGCTCAATTTTGCCAAGAATAGAAGCCTCTTGTTCGAGTAAGATGACTGAAACCATTGTCTCTTGTCATATTTTATGGTCTTTTTATTAATTCGAAGTTGTTAATTCACACTTCTCATAGTCACAGGGTCATGCACTCTAAAGTATATGTGCATGTACATCACTTCCAAGGGAAAAAAATCATGAAACAAATCATATAGGGAAACTGACTGGAGCAGGGTTTGAACCTGCGACCTCTGGAACACCATACCAGTGCTCTACCGACTGAGCTACCCAGCTCATGTCGGTGGCTCTTCCTATTTGTCAATATCTCGGGGGGGGGGGGGCAGCCAGAAGCCATTAAACCTGAAACACCATGTAGCCGGGGATCACACCCCAATTACACACGATACAACCTGGGAAGTGTTGAACAGGGATCACTCAAAGCGGATGCAGCTTTTTGAACATAAATCATGAACCAAATCATATAGAAGTCCGTCAGGATGCCGAAAAACCGTGGGAAAAATTGGACAGGGAACAAGATGAGCATAGACCAGACAGGAGATGATGTTTTAGAGGGAAATGCTGGCAGTGCGGGTGGACATTTCTGATCATCAGTCGCGAGGCAGACCCGCGCACAATCCCGCACCATACGGGCGCTGCTGGACCCTCAGGTGTGGAAGTGTGTCACAGGGGCCATTTCCCCCAGACTGCCCTGCCCCACTTCTGTCCCTACAAGGTACACAGTGGCAGACCCCGGGAAGAGGTCCGAAGGCATAGATTGAAGGCATCATTTTTCTTTCCTACCTAATTTTTCACTGAAAAGTTCCATATAAAGGAACTTGCTACACCCTTTATTTACTGCAGCTGAATGATCTGATATGGAATGCTTGGAGTGAACCTACTGAGAGTTACATGTAGTGGGAGGGTAAAAGGAGGGCATCTGGATTGAATAAAAGAAAAGGCAAGCCCATTGTGGAAATTTTCACAAAACAGTGCATTGCCAGATGTGGACAAGTGTAGACCATCTTGCCAATACAATGAGATGGGATTTGGATGGCATTGGGATGGATTTGTTGTATGGGAATGAACAATGGTAGTTTCTTGCAAATCTTGTGAGTGAGTGAGTGAGTGAGTGAAGTTGTTCAGAGCAAACACACTATTTTTACCCACACCTATTGTTTGCTCACCAGAAGAAAACAGCCGAAAATAAGAGGATGTCCAGCCACACAGCTGAGGGAGCTGGCTGTCTGAACCATGTCATTTGAGAGTGGGACAATGCAATTGCAATATTATATGTGCTTAGCTTTATGACATTGTTGCAAAGGCACAAGAGAACAAAGTAGCAAACTAATTTCATAAATTAAAGCATTGGAATGTCTCCTTATTATCAGTTTGGATCCCTAGTTGCTTGCCCATCAAACACCCTGCCCATAGTGTGATAGCTACCACTCCTGAAAAAAACACCAGCCATGGAATGGAATGTGTGCCAGATTGGACAGATATTTATTAGCCAAGTGTCCCCAAATCATTGACCCCCTAAGGTAGCCCCCAAATCCAATGCAGCTACTGTGTCATATATCCAATATTGATCTGGAATTATAACTTTCCCATTGAATCCCCCAGAAGAAGATCTGCCACAAATTCAAGTCTTCCTTTGCTCCCTTTTATGGCTGAAAATGTAATTTCATTCAGTTGAGTGGGGTAGCAAATTAGAATGAAATTAAGTTCTTACTGTGGAATGTATCACTCCGCGTTGCGGAGGTGCTTGAGCTATGAGTCTCGGGTATATAAATCGGGGTGTGGCAAGAATGTGCCATCTGTGGTCCGACAGGCAAACACTACTTCATCATAGCAACTTATTCCTGTTATTTGCAAGGCTTTTTTCCCATGGGTTTTTACCCCCACAGGTTTTTCCCACTAGGCAAATAATTCGAAGGAAGTTGTGATGATGGAAATCGTTATCATATTTTTAAAACAACAATTATTTATCACATGCTTTTAATTTATTTACTTGTCATGAACCATATCGTCAATACTTTGGTATAGGTATAGTATTAAAATGATAATGCTTGCACGGATTCCTTAGTAATCAATCGTAATGTTACACTGTAATGTCTGGATTGCAGGGACAGTAAATGGTACCAGTCAGTAAGATTCAACGACATGTAAGATCTTTTAAGAGATGAGTATTCATAATTTTGAATCAATTAAATGGAAGAAGTAATTAATAAAATGGGTGTGCATGCCTATTGGTCGCCCCTCCAAAGTTGTAATCTAAGTGTCATGGACTCATTAAGAACTTGTACCATTGTTTTTTGACTCCTTTCAATAAGTCTACTAGCCAATAAAGAAATGCCTGACCTGGAACCAAGGCCTGACAAATGAGTGGAAGTCAGCCAATGGGGAACTGGATTGATTAACTAAAAGGCATGTAATTCCCATTGGGTAAGGTGTTTTTTAACCTGAATGGTACTGTAGTGGACTTGTTAATGGTGCTGGTTGCTCTGCTTACTCTGTATAACAACAAATCCAATTTGATTAAATCACTTTTTTACAATTTTTCTCGTATGCTGTTGGGAAAGTGGTTCCCAGTGGGTCATGAACTGATACCAGTGGGCCTAGACAACTTGGAGTAAAGTGAAACATTGAGCATGCCCAAAGATACCCCCACTTGGCAAAGGCTATCTGGTGAAGACCCAAAACAAGCACTGGGCATGCTATTAGACTCGCCAAGTGGGTGGTGAATTGGTCCAGCCGGCAAAACCTGGTGATAGGTAAACCTGCTTCAGCTGTAGACTGGGAGTGGAAAGGGGTAAACCCTGTATACTGAGTTGCCACATGGAGTCCATGAGCGCAGGTTGATCTGTACCATTGCAGTCCAGTCCAGTAAATGGTTTTGAAGATAATGATCTGCAAATAATTCAATTTGCGGATGTGTCACATGGCAAGTGATGAAGTTATCATGACATCACTTTTCTTGAACAATCCGCAATCAAGGTTTTGCTGGGTATACTGTAAATTTGATGAACTTGCAAGATAAAAAAGTGTCTCAAAATAGCACCTAGAAAAACTATACACAAAGTGAATACATAAGCCTTGAAGAAGGAAAAAATAGGTCTGTGTTAGAGAACGGAACAAGGGGCTTTTCAAAGTTTCTAGGGTGTGGGAAAAAATGCTTGGCATACATACTTGCAGTATGAGACAAAGTGAAAAAATGTGTTGAGAGTCTGTTGGACTTGCAGAAAAATTTAAGTTGTCAAAAATTCACATGATTAAGTCATGCTGTCACTTCAGGAGACACATGCTTAATGAACCTACCTGTATTAAATCTGAAGTCTTAAGTTGAGTTCACTTGAAATGTTGTACCGGTATAAATATTAGAAGAAAATGGTGCAGATAAAACAAAATAATAGAAATTTAAATAAAAAATGTTATAATGTCACTTTGTAAAGATAACCAGGAGTTGATGTGCTACCTGCTCAGGTAGAATTTCATGTTGGTCTCCCCTGGTTTAATATGTGAATCAAAACTCGTACTTTTTAATGACATTATGACGCCACAAAATTTTACAGGCAACCCCAAAATCTACTTGGCCCACCAAATGTCTTGAAAAGGGATTTTTTTGGGGGGGCTTGTTTTATCCAAGAGTTACACCAATACAAATGTTAACATGCAAAACATTTACATAAAAATTTTAAAATTATTGGAAGACGTTATCATGGTTTCACTCTAATTTTCACCTATAATGCGTCTTAGTATTGTGTTTAACCCTTTCCAAGTGGTTCTGGATATTTTGATCCGGAAAGAATTCTTTGTAGATATACCAATGACACATTATATCAT